ATCCTTTGAGGCTTATGTTCAAGGCCGCTGCGCAAGGATGACATACTTCAATCGAGATATGGTGCATAAATAAAAACGAAAAAAAGGGATGAATCCACCTCTACAACACGACAATATACACTGCCAGATGTGTGTGTGTGTGTGTGTATGTGTGTGTGAGAGAGAGAGAGAGAGAGAGAGTGTGTGTGTGTGTGTGAGAGAGAGAGAGAGAGAGAGAGAGAGAGAGAGAGAGAGAGAGAGAGGAAGGAGGGGAGAAAGAGAGGGGCTAGTGGTTACCCACCTGGCAACTTTACGAGCTGAAGCCGCGCTCCTCCCGCTGCTTCTTCGGCTCCTCCAGGAAGACTGTAGTGCCCTGGCTATGACTGGACGACGACGCCTTCGACTACTGCTGCTGCACAGGAGACGTGGAGGCAACGGGCAACGCACGGCGGGCGCGAAGGGCACAAAGCTGGACTACCGGGGTTCATCTACGCAGCGAGGGGCAGCACTCCGGATTCGAAACTTCAAAAAACAAACCAACTTCAGCTCCCCCCTTTTTTTTTCCGAGGCCCCGCGCGGCCTTAAATTGTTGTTGTTTTTTTTTTTTTTGGTTCGTCACTCGACATCCCACCCCGGCCCAGAACACCCCTCGACAAATTTTATTTTTTTTGGTCGACCCCTTATTTTCGGGGTGCGCCGCACCCCGTGCGCGGTGCGGCGCACGTGCGGGGTGCAGCACACCTCGATGCGCCGCAAGTATGTTTTTTTCATATTGATGATCGTAAATCAGATCTTCGTCTCTGATCCCGAATACTGATTCTAACTCTTTAGATCTTCAATGGTCTTGTGAATTTGTTGAATCTTGTTTTTTTTTTATGTTTCGACTCGCCTGAGCATGGTATTCTAGTATTTCGTTGTTGCACTAGTCGTTGTGATACACTCCAGCCTGGAGTGCCTTTTGGCTAAGAGGGGTTAGTAGTGGGAGGGAGGTGACGCATCCTGTTGGTGAGGGGGTCAGTTAATAGGACTGGAATAGAGCATAGCAGCAACAGAGATGGTGGCTCCGCTGTGATAAGTCTTGCCTAAGGGAGGTCAGGGGGAGTGTTGAGGAGGTTTGGGGGTGTTGAGCACGACCGGTGCATGGAGGAAGCCGGACATTTCGAAGCCTTAGTTGCCGTGGTGTTTTCAGTAGATCATCCGACGGTGGGTTATCGCCATCATGTCTATAAGGTTAGGGTTGGCCGATGCCAGAACGACGTTGGCCGGAGCTGGGGTTTGGTTGCGCTGCCTTGTAACCTGAGTATGCGGGGGTAGAGATCTGGGGAACTGTCGAGGTTGGAAGGCAGTCCAGTGGCTAACCGCGAGCTGGTATTAGGACGGCGCGGGTCGGAGCTGGGGTGGGTCGCGCCACCCTGTAACCCAGCGGTTGGGGGTGTGAGGCCTGGGAGAGCCTGTTATCTTGGATATGTGGGTTGAGGCAGCCGCAGGATAGTCTGTTGATAGCATTGGGGCAGCATGTTTTCGGTTATATCGGCTTCCAGATAATCTCATTTGGGTCTCTTTTCTCAGGAGTAAGTTTGTTTTATTTAAGTCGCTTTTGGTGGTCTTGAGGCCGCTTCAGGATTCTGGGGGTATCTTGCTACTCACTGTGGGCTTCTCTGATGCGGTTATATCCATAGATCTGTGCTGGTTTGATGCCAAAATGTCACTGACTGGTGTCAGAAGTAGAAGGTGGGATATCAGGCATCCTGTAGGATGGAAATAGGGTACAACAACAACGGAGATGGTGGCTCTGCTGCAGTAAGTCTTGCCGGAGTGAGGTAAAGAGGATGGATGGGGGTTTCTGGGGCGTTCTCTGAACTTTTGCTTACGTGAG